CTCCCCAGATTCCACAAGAAGACTACACTGGTAATTTTTTTCCCTTTCTCTCTCTAATTCTCTTGAGTCTTGTTCCTTCTCTTGTTTTATGTCAATAACTCGTCTACTTTAGTACTTGTCTTGAGATGATGGTGGAGGGCATATAGGCAGTACACATACTTTATCTACACATACTTTATCTGAAAAGTTTTTACCCTATTAATGATAACATTTATTTTAAATTTATTGATATTATTTATTGGTTTTCTATTATATAAAATCTTTATAAACACTAAAAACATAATCGATTAAAATCATAATATATTATTTACTTAGGTTTTGAAATCATCATAAAAATCATTCAATAACTTGTATTTTATTACAAAATATTGATATTTGCTGTAATATATTTGTTGGTTGTAATTTTATTTTTAGTTATATTTTGTTATTTAAATTGTTTATGTTGCATATATCAACATGAAAAAAAAACAATCAACTATTAATGTGTTATTTAAAAAAACGTGTCAATACTACTCAAGATCCCAAAAAATGAAAATTACAAATTTGAAGAGTGATATAACAATATTTGTTTATTAATTTTCTTGTTTCGAATTTTGATATGTTATAATTTTGAAACAATTTTTTTTACGTGGTTTTGTTTTGAAATTTTAATTCCGGCCCCCTAGTTATTGTGTTTGTGTTCCGCCCCTGTATAGCCTAAGCAGGTTATATACGTTTTCAAGATAATATTAAATATTTAATTTATATTTTTAATGTTTTCTCTTTGCTAATATTGTGATACGTGAGTTTCATTGATCTGGATTTTTGAGACTTTTTCAATTAGCCATGTATTTGGTGATCCCTTGGACCATTCCATGATCAAAGCTTAAGCGATTATAGAAGACTAGCTCGAAGGTGGTCATTGACGTTGATTGAATATGATTATTTATTTAAGACTGCCATTTTTACTATATATGTTGTTAACAATTGATTTGAAATTGTAATAGGAGGATAATAACTCTATAGAGAGGTCAGAACCAACATCGGATGAGCGGCATGTTGTGTGGTGGTTGATAGCTCCGTTTGGATTAATCGCAATGATTTACCTTCGTCAGTATATGGCAAAGGCACAATCTCTCTCACACCATCACCACATCTCCTCCCTCAAATGTCACCTCACATCTTGCCGCCATATAAGCATGCCGGCATAGGTTCATCACAATCACATCCACGACCATCACCACAAACAAGCACATCATGTAATATATTATTGGCAAAAAGTGTAAAAGATTGTTTAATATGCACCTAATGGGTCTAGTAAGAGGTATGATCTGCCTCGGTCCGAGTCAGACTTTTTTTTTTTTTTTGCACAAGTGAGAGGTCCGGTTCATTTTCCATGAATCGTCCCAAAAATGTTGTTGACCGGAAAACTTCTTGTGTTTTCCCTTTCCCGTAAACACGTTGACCTCCTCCAATATTGAACGACACATCCAGCCAAATCGATCCCTATCTAAGCGACCACAATCCTCCGTCCCTTCGATGTTGTCGTCACCATACTCCATCCCTTCACGAGTTTATACTTTGACCAGGCTTGACTCAACTTAAATATCAATTGGTCTTCACAAGTTAACTCGAATGGGGTTACATTTGATGGGGTCAGATTACTGAATATGTTTTGAATGTAAAAACAATGAAAACATGTTTACATGGTTATGTCATTGCTTGATAACATCTTATTTAGTCTAAAAATAAAATAACATAAAAAATTTCTTAGCTACTTAATTATTGAAACTTTCAACATGATTTGATCTTTTTCAACCACGTACATTTATCGATACTACTAAGTCTACTACCATAATTTTTTTTAGGGAAAATGACTCTTGAGGGTAATTAACTTTTGCGTTTGTACTCATTTGGTCCATTTCCTTTTTTTGTATTCAATATACCATCGAACTTGTTGTTTGCATTCACCATAACCCTTTTGACCGGCTTTTGACCTGTGATAGCCGGTCAAAGGGTTATGGTGAACACAAACAACAAGTTCGATGGTATATTGAGTACAAAAAGAAAAGAAAAGGGACCAAATGAGAACGAACTCAACAGTTGGTTACCCTCCTGAATCATTTTCCCTGAAAAGTTAAATGAAATTAAAGTTGCAAAATTATCAAAGACTGCAACCTTCTTTGGCTATAACGTATTCTATGAAGAGTGTTTCAAAGGGGTAAACTCGTTAAAACATGGTCTATGTTATGCTTACTGTGGTTAGCTGTCAACACCTCTCTGCAAAAGGATATGACTGTGTATGAGAGGTATATTTATCAGCATAAACGTTTACCTCAAGGTATATTATGGTGATGTGTCTACAAAAGCAGCATGCTATTGTACATATTGATGTTGTATCTTATCCCATGAATTTGATCTTAAAGCTAAGTAAACTCAAAAATCACAGCACTTGTGATTCCACTCATTTGTAGACTTGTCTAGAATCCATGATACGATAAATCATTTGATTGGAAATGTAAATGTAGTCATGAAATGCGCCTGCTTAGTCAAGATTCCCCTAATAAATATTCAAGTGCATTACAAAGTTGTACATGTATGAATAATGTTCTTTCATGGGTTATGCTTTGAAGAGAAGCAAGAATGAATCTCATAAAGTCATTAATATCAGTAAGAGATGACGTGGAATTTGCTGTAAATGAGTAAAGGGAAAATGATTCAGGAGGGTAACCAACTGTTGAGTTTGTTCTCATTTGGTCCCTTTCCTTTTTTTTTTTGTACTCAATATACTATCGAACTTGTTGTTTGTGTTCACCATAACCCTTTGACCGGCTATCACAGGTCAAAAGCCGGTCAAAAGGGTTATGGTGAACGCAAACAACAAGTTCGATGGTATATTGAATACAAAAAAAAAGGAAAGGGACCAAATGAGTACAAATGCAAAAGTTAATTACCCTCAAGAGTCATTTTCCCAAAAATTTATACAACATGCAAACATACACTACTCATACGACACATGACATTAAAATCAGAAAAATAACACAAATACGCTACTCTGTTATTCAAGCCATCAATGATTTTTCTTGTCTCATTTAAACCATTGGTATTTTTTTTCCCAAATAATTAACCTAATTCAATAGGTTTGCAAACAAATGACGAGATGGATTATCATCTGACATATAAGGTCTTCCGGAATGGTCACCACCAACCACAAATGTGTTTGATGTACAAATATGTTGAATGTAAAGATCACCCATGATAAGGCTATCCGGAGTGGAGGGTTATTTCACGCGTGAGATCCTATGTGGCAAGCCAACCCACACGTGAACACCGCCCCAGGCTCCGGTGGGTTGGATGTGAAGTGGTTGCCAAGACGCATGAAGACACACAAGATGATTGGCTAATTGTTATGACAGTTTCCATTTTATCTCCTTCTCTTTCATCATTTTCCCCCCTTCACTACCAACCCACTAGGTGAACACCATTTCCTTAACCTAGTCGGTTGGTTGTGGAATGCTAAAATATCTACGTGGCGCTGAGTTGGCTGGTGGTTTGGGTGTGACCACTCCCCACAGCCTAATGTGGTAAACTGTCGAAGCACCACATTGCGGTGAAATGTGATCACCATCACAATTGAGCATCCAATCACAATTTTTTTTCTCTCTACCTCTTTACATTTAATTAACTAAAAAATATATTTAAAGTATTAAAAAAATTAAAGTAATAAAAAATATATATAATGAGAGGGATATAATGTAATAAAAAAATATATTTTAAAGTAATAAAAAAATATATTTTAAAGTAATAATAAGAAGGATATAATGATGTATGGCGGTAGGCATACAAATCTAATATAGTTATGCAAGATGATGAGATGGCAATCACATGACATCCACCATATTTTTGGTTAAGACCATCTACATCGATGGCTTGCAATTGGTTTGCAAGGCCAGATACGCCATTATTTCATGCCACATAGGAGTGTGTCTTTCAAAACTTGAAAGGCTTGCAAAAGTATTATATTAGTATTTTAATCAAATAGTCATATCTAGATATTAAAAACAATTGAATTGATATATTATCTTTATAATAAAGAAATAATATCTAATCCATGTGCCATGTGTCTTGCAAACACTATACAGGTAGCATTTACAATATATTGCAAGACTACCACAGATGTGATTGCTCTAATGGTGACTGCTCCCAAAGGCCTAAGCGTCATTTGTTTTGTTGGATGATTCCAAAAGTTTGAAAATGGCTATTTAATCTCTTCTATATTGGAATTACACAACTTATAATTTTTAATAGCATATCCTACTATTATAAATTGTTAATCATAGCATCATTTTTAAATTATAAACTGTTAACAGCATCCTCCTATTCTTAAAAAAAAAAAGTTCATTAACTGTTATGTTTGAAAGTTAAAGAGTTGATTTTCAAATTATTAATTAGGTACTGTACTTGTTAATTATAGCATCCTACTTAGGATTCTAAAATAGCATGTAGAAACTAGAAACTGTAAAAAATCATGTAAAAAAAACATTCTTTAATAGCATCCTACTATTCTTGAATGCTACTATTATTATCCTTGAATGCTATACCTTTTAGTATCATGCTATCTTGAATGCTCAAAAAATCTAATTTTACAGATATAGGCATGCTACTTTATTGTTTAACCCATAACAGCAACTTATTACTTTACTTTTTAACCCCATAATACCAACATACTTGCATTTTAATACAGTTAATAACAAAGTAATTTAGTTCTTATCCGTAGACCGTAGTAGCAATTTACTTGTATTTTTTACCCATATAAGCAATAATATGTTTTCTTTAATAAATGTTGCAATTATTGGTAAACAAGTGTAACTAACTATGTTGCTATTACTGATAACGAATTCTAAGTATGTTGCCATTGTGTGCAAGTACATTGCTGATATGGGAATTCTAAGTACTTCTCAATATGGACATTATACTTTTTTATTCCTCCCATAACAGCAACATACAATACTTGTGTATTTCTACTGATTATTTTGTAGAACAAGGGTAGTCATCTTTTCAAGCTGAAATAATCAAAGAAAACAGTAAGCAAACATAATAGTTTTTCAAATACCGAAATCACAAAAGCCAAGTACAAGTTTTAACATAAAAAGTACAAATCACAGTGCCATCATCATAACACTTGATAAAGAGATATCCTTTAACCAAAAACACAAGAATTAAAATGTAAAGCGAGTTTATGATCATCATTAATCCATACCTTACTCTCTCTATCGTCCTCTTTCAAACCCAATTCGACTCCTTCCAGAACCTTCATACCCTTCACGCATAGAAGCCCCACCACTTGCTTTCATGGTCCCACTGCTTCCAACTTTATCCATCGCCTTCTTCCCTCCTTTGACTTGGGTCAAAAACTGATCCAAACCAAATGGATCCGCTTCTTCAGCAACTTCTTTTTCAAACTCCACGGGTCTATCCCTGGGACCCGCTTTCTCGTTGGCACCCGTGAACCCTTTATCCGGTTTAAATCGATCCGTTTTCCTAATCTTCTCAATCTGTTCATCCGCCCCACCATACATCTCACCATCAGCATCCTTCTTAGGGCGGTATAAGGTGGAGAGAGTAGGCTGAGCTGTAAACAATCCTTTGTCATAAACATTGTATTGATCCTCTGTCCCAAACCCTGAATCCATCCCTTTCTCTTGATTAAACAACCGCTGATCATACATCACTTCACCACCACGCGCCGCCCCTCCCGACGCCATCCCAAGCGCCACCTTCTCGCTGATGTCACGGTCTCTGTCTCGTGTTATCTTACTCTTTTTCCCCATGGCTGCATCTTTCGCTTCCAATCGTCTTTCTCTCTCCCTCTCTCTCCTCCTCTCTTCCCGAATCTTCTCTCTCTGAATCCTCTCCTCTCTCTCCTCCCTTGTCTCTCTTGTTTCTCTTGGTTCTCTCTCGTCAACATCCATCATGGTCTTCCCGGAGGATGGCGGCGGTGGGGCGGCGGGAGGTGGTCCGGTTGCGGTCCCGGTTCTTTCGGATCTTGCTTTTTGAGCTAATGCGCGGAGTTCTTGTTCTTTTCTTTCTTTTTCTTTCATCATCATTTCCTTTTGGACTTTTGACCTCATGGAGACAGCTTCTCTTGCTTTTTGTTCAGCTACATATAAAGCTTCTGAAAGTTTGGCAAAATTATCGTTGATTTGTACCTCTTGAAGCCCTCTTCCATCTGCTGCTAAACGTTTATCAAGTGGAATTGTGTACCCTTTTGGATTCTTCCAGTTTGAAATACACGGAGGGATTTTCCAATCTTGTTGGTCTTTTACTGTTACAGGTCTAGGAGGGGAGTGCATGACAGGGACAGGTGGCGATCCGTTAGCTTTTGGGACTCTTTTGTGTTTGAACTTTGGTGGGTCTAATGGGTCAACTGGCATTTCCACCATTCTAATGATTCTTTCTTTTGCCCCTGAGTTAAATGCGGATGATTGTTGTGAGGGTTTGTATTTGATGAACTTTGAATCTTGAGATTGTGTGGTAACGTTTTTGGGTTGTGCTGCACTTAGTCTTACATTCACAATCTTTTCGAGAGCTGCTTTTGTTTGAAGGGTTGTTTCTTCAATCTTTTTCTGCTTCTCCACTTCCTCTTCATCTTCTTCATCTTCTTCATCCTTTAGAATCTTGGGTACAAGATCTTTGTGCTGTGAATGAACAATCTTTGAAGCGTTTTCGTTTTGCTTCACAATCGCATCAAATGTTAAGTTACCATGTTTATCAACTGTTACAGGTAGGGTTTTTGGGCCTGAAGATGAATCTTTTTTCCTACCAAGATCAAGAGGGAACTGTGCATAGTGTATCTCGGGGAAAGCTCCACCATCACCAAAGTCTTGTGGTTTTGATGGCCGATATTTGAAACGCTCAGGTGTGTTGTATAATGGGACAGGGTTCTTTTTGATGATTTCAGTATGTTCATCCTCTGTTGGGGCGCTGTATCTTTGCTTAAACCATGGGTCGCTTGAATGATCATAGAAGGTGGAAGAAGATGATTTTGCAGGTGGCAAAAGCTCCTTCAAAGCCGCCATGAATGAAAGAAACCAACCTATGTAGAAAACCAAAATAAACAAATTAAACATGTCTTCAGCAAAAAAAAACTAAAAGAAAAGTATGAGATTGATCACAGTCTTTTCTTTCGACAAATTCAACAATGATCTTGCCGATTCTCCACACAAAATTTATTTAAATTTTGTTAGATTCTGTTTTTGAGAAAAACAACATCAAAATGAAAAGACGAAGAAGTAATTAGAACCCACATGGATCAGGAACGAACCGAGCAGATAACATCTTTATTACTTTTTTGCCCTAAATTCGAATTAACAACCATATACGACTAAACCCCTAATTCGAATTATTAGCCATACTTTTTATCCTAGATTAAGAAGTAATTAGCAGTCTTGATCCTTTGAAGCACATAGGTTTAAGCTAGACGGAAGTTTTCAAACAATTCAATCAAGTGATATATTGAACATTACCTGCTCGATGCGGAGGTTAATGGTGGTGGTGGTCGATGCGGAGGTTGACGGTGGTTGTGGTGGTGGATGCGGCGGCGTGATCTGAAGAATATGGTAGGGATCGATGGCAGCAGTAGGCGATGAAATCCGTTTTGGGGGTCAATTGGGGACGAGTGGTGTGTTGAAATCGTCGGCCAATATTTAGGGTTATCTTTTATAATAATTTTTTTTCCTTCACCGACTTGACGTACAAGTGCCCAAATGTAATACGTTCGTGACATGCTATTTTTTTTTTAATGAACAATCTATTCTATTTTTTTTTCCTATAAAGCTCTTAATTTTATTTACATCATTTCTAATTAGAAGTTTCTTTTTAAATCTTAAATTTCTGAATCTTTAATATTAATAGGAATCTTAAAAAAATATTATTATTTAAGTAAGTAGTTTTTTAGATCAATAATCTTAGATAGTATTTTAGTTCTTAAGTGGATTTGAGTTATATAATGGTTGTTCTTGGTTGAAATATGAGTTGGACATTGAAACTTCTCGAATATATGTTATGTCTATTTGGTTTATAATTTAAGTCAAACCGGTTAGACTCCTTGTAATCTGATGCATACGTAGAAAACCTACGTCTACGAGGATCTTAAGTTGGTGAGGTAAGGTCCTAGAGTCTGAGTAGGTGTTTGGTAGGGCACTTTTTTTACTCAATCGTGGGTGTCCACATGCATTTTTGCTAACAACTAAATCAATAATTGTAGTTGTTGATGGCGAATAAAATCTCACACAGTTTTTGTCACATAACTTTGTTTCTCTTCTTTTGATTGTTTAGCATAGCTTTTTGAAACAATTGCACGTAATCTTTGTTGGGAAATTTAGGGTTTGCGGTGGAGATCTGGATACCAACTTGGATCGTGATATCACTTTCTGAACTGATATTTCTACCCTATGCTGAATTTCTTGTAACCCAGACATATGGTAGAAATAAGGAAAATGACTTTAAAAGGTAATAAAGTTTATAAAATGTTCAAAAGATACCATTATTGTTTTTTTAATACAAAAAATACCATTAAAATATATTTTTTGTATATAAAAAACCAGTGACAACTTATGCTCACCTGTTATTGTAGGTAACCTCCCGATAAGAAAAAAACAAGTCCTACTATCTTGTTTCTTTGCAGTAAAAAGAAGAGAAAATGAAGGAAAAAACAAGTCCTACCAATTCTCCTTCCCCACAAAGAAATCACAGACTCTTCTTTTCTTTTCTTCCTGGAACAAGTTCGCAGAGGGTATCGACTGGTGGTGGGTTTCGGTTGAACAGGGGAGTGGCTCGATGGTTGATGATCGATGGTATAAGGTGGCAGTGATATTTCTCAGCTTTTGCATGTGGTTAGCTTCGACGTTTGTGTAGGCAGATGGAGATTAAGAGGGTCGAAGGTGGTGGCGGAAAGCGTTCTCGGTATTCAGAGGGAAGGTATAAGGTGGTGTTTGGTGGTTTAACATGTGAGGTTGACGGTGGTTTTTGGTGGTGTAATGAAGCTGAAGGAAGCTGTGGTTATCGGTTGAACAGGGATGGACAGGTAGATGGTGAAGGTGGTTTAAACCATCGAGGTTGTGGTGGCAGCAGGTGGTGAAGGTGGTTTAAAGCTTCAACGATGGAAGGTGGTGATTGGAAAGATGATGAATAGTTGGTGGGATACGGCTGAGCAGTGATGTTTCTTGATGGTGATTTAAGTGGGTATAAGGTGGTTCATGAAGGTGGTTATCGCCGGTGGTGGTGATAAGGTGGAGTTTGGTAGCATTTGGTGGTGTTTGATGATAGTTGATAAGCAGAAGTGTTTTACAAGTACAATAAAAAAATATTATATCTGTTCAAAAAAAATCTCCTCCCCCGCAACCTACATCGTCACCGCTATTTAGCATCGTTGGTTCCGGTTCCAACTATTCCGGCGGTTCAAACCCACTTCTGCCTTCTGCCTTCCCCCGGGTATGTCACCGGGTTTCTCAAAAAGCACATTCACATCTAAAGAATTAGCGATGGCGATAGATGGGTTTTCAGAAGCCAATTTTCTTGGACAAAGTGGTTTTGGGTATATCCACAGAGGTGTTTTCCGAATGGGAAAGAGGTGGTGGTGAAGCAACTAAAAAAGGGCAGCAGTCATGCGGAACATGATTTTCAGGCAGAAGTTGAGATCATTTGTGGAGTTCATCATAAACATCTCATTTCTTTGGTTGGATATTGCATATCAGGAGCTCAAAGATTAGTTGTGGAGAAGACGTGGGCGTTACAGGGGCCGGAGGTGAAGAAGCTACTGGAGAAGAAGAAACAGGGGTGGCGGTAGTTGGAAGGGGAAAGGAAAAGTAGTTGGACTTTTTTTTTTACTTAGAAACACTAATAACCGGGAAGTTACTTACAATAATAGGTAAAAATGGTATTTTTTGTACTGAAAAATCAATAATGGTATTTTTTAAACATTTTGAAAACTTTATTACCTTTGTAAGTCATTTTCCCGTAGAAATATCAGTTCGGAAAGTGATATCACGATCCAAGTTGGTATCCAGATCTCCACCACAAACCCTAAATTTCCCAACATTCAAACTGATATTTTCTGTTTCTGGAGATGGGTGACTCAATCCGCGAGATGACCACTAAGTTTGCAAAGCTGGCGAAGTTCGAAGGTGTTGACTTCATGCGGTGGAAGAAGAAGATGCACTTCATGCTGACTACTCTCAAGGCAGCGTACGTGCTAACTACTCCTAGACCAGCAGAGCCTGAGGAAGGTGTTGTTGAGACGGCTGAAGAGACAAGAAAGAGACAGAAGTGGGACAATGATGACTACATCTGCAAATGTCACATTCTGAACGGTATGTTTGATGCTTTATTTGATATCCATAGTGAAGCCTTGTGTGCCAAGGAGTTATGGGACACTCTTGAACTGAAATACATTACTGAGGATGCTTCTAGCAAGAAATTTCTGGTCAGTGACTTTAATAATTATAAGATGGAAGATTCAAGGTCTGTCACTGAACAGTACAATGAACTCCTTGGCATATACGGTCAGTTTAAACTGCACCGTATGAATATGGATGAATCCATTGCTGTGTCCACTATCATTGACAAACTGCCTCCGTCCTGGAAAGACTTCAAACATAACTTGAAACATCAAAAAGAGAAACTGTCATTGGTTCAACTTGCTAGTCACATTCGTATTGAAGAATCTAAGTATTTGTTTAACTTTGCATGTTGATTACTCACTCTTCAAACGTGGGTTGTTCTTTACCATTTCTGCAACTTACACTTATTTTATATATATATATATATATATATATATATATATATATATATATATATATATATATATATATATATATATATATTGATTCATTCTTTTTTTTTAAATTGATTCCTTCTTTGTTTTTTTAAATTGATTCATTATTTGTATTTATAGTGTTTTTTTTAATAATCAAAGTCATTGCCAATGGCCAAAAACCGTCACAAATTTGAATTTGAGATGCGGTGAAATGATAATATGCGGGACACATACCACATTTTTTGGGGGTCGGTGCAATGTTTACTGCACACCGCGGTGCCACATCATATACTGCAGTGTGCGATATACTTCATACCGAGGGGTCTAAGGCTATCAAGCATACATCCGAGTGCGGTTCCACTATGGTGCCCATAGTGGCACCGACAACCCCTTTTTTTCGGACGTAGTGTAAAAAATTTTGAATTTTTTGTTTTTTCTACTATTGTGTCACTACGTAAAAAAAAGTGCCACCGGCAACACCCACTATGAAATTTTGCGTCCGCCCATCAGGGGCGGACCTAGGGGTTCCATGGTGGCACCGACAACCCATGACTTTTCCAGTCGCAGTGAAAAAGTTTTCGAAAATTTTCAAAATTTTATTTTTTTCTATTACCGTGCAACCCCTACTGTGAAATCGTGCGTCCGTCCGTGCCGCCCATACATAATCAAGCTTGAGGTGCTTTGCATTCCATGCGCCATAAGTCTTTGATGGTGTGGGCGCGGTGGCAAAGCATGTTGGATATAGCCTAAGATGTAATGACAAGGGTAAAATGGTAAAACGAACACATGGGGAGCTAGAAGCAAGTCTTCTCTTTGTCGTGTCTAGTTGACTCGAACGAAATCGCTGTAAACCCGAACGAAAACACACACACATCAAAGCAATTACGCCCGTTAATGGCGGCCTCTACAGATACAACGGCAGCGCCGTCGACGACTCTCCGGCACGCCTCTGGAAATATTCTCGCATTCTTCATCCTCCTGTTAATTGGCGTACTCGCATTCTCGATCCGTCTTTTTTCGGTGAGTTCATTGGATCTAACGCCCTGCTCAGTATTAGACTTATGGATCAGATTTTGAATGTTTGGTGACATGAATTCCTTTTCTTGGTACATTTTTCTTCCAGGTTATTAAATATGAAAGTGTTATTCACGAGTTCGATCCTTATTTCAATTACAGAGTTACTCAGGTTTGATTTATAACATTTTGTTTCTATTACTTCAGTTTTTTGTTTATGCGATGGTAGTTTGATAGAATTCAAGTTTTTTGAGTATTACATCACCTTGGTTTAACATCCAGGATATCTGTAAATATTTTTTCCCGTTCATTTTTAGATAAAAAAAAAGTTATTTGTGATTTCCATAACTGAATCGTATGCATTTTCAGAAAACAAGCTACTGTACTAACCTAATTTTATCCATGAATATTTAGAAATCTCCTTTATATCATATGTTTCCTTTCTCCCGTCCCCTCCCCCAAAAGTTACTCCTTTCATGAACTTTAGAACCTGCAATTTTTCTTTTTCAGTCCCATTATACTTATGTTACTAATGTATACCTCTATACCTTCTTTATGTATCCATTTTTAAAGACATTGCCTATGACAAGATATCTTTGGCTTGCAGTTTCTCACAAAGAATGGGATATATGATTTCTGGAATTGGTTTGATGATCGAACCTGGTAAATTTAGATCCTTTCTTTTTTCTCATCTGTTTAGTCTATTGGTGAACAAAACTAACATGAAACCCTATTCCTTACTTGTCTTAAGGTATCCTCTTGGACGAGTCATTGGTGGAACGGTTTACCCTGGATTGACTCTAACAGCTGGAACAATATGGAAGTGCGTTTTTTTATTTTTTATTTTTATATTTTATGATTTCTGTTAGTTATGACCCAATCATTTAACCATCAAGCTTGAATTTAGTATCTCATATATAACAGGTCTCTTTACTTGATAACCAAAGAATACAAGA